AGGAATGCATCACCTAGGGCAGAATTTAGCAGGTACTCGTTACATTTCCAGAGTACAAATAAAAAAATAAATAAATAAAAATCCCATCTCAAGTCTCTGTGCCCAGGTGAACATGAAGGCCAGTACAGGTGACTTTTCACCTTCCTAACGGAGATCCTTGATGCTGCAAAGGGTATGAGAGAGCACAAATTGTTAGAGCTGGCCTAGGAAGTTCAGGACACAGCATCCACAGACCAGGCATACTGGAAGGTCGAATCATTAGATCCTTTAAGAAAAAAGAGGGATGGAGAACAGCTCTGGTTTAAACACAACATAAGAGCTTTTCCTCAAGCTAGCCCCTTGGCAAGCGCAAAGAAATTGCTCTAAGCAAGAGAAACCCAAGTGATTACCTGTCTGCCATGCTGTTCCTGGTTTCTCTGGTTATGTCAGGAGCTGCTGGCCATGGCTGACTCACAACACTGTCAGAAGATGCATTTTCCTGAGTTAAAGCAGTCTCCAGTAACGACGGAGCGTTCAGTCTGTCCACCTCCACTGGAGGCATGTCCAAAGAGTGGTGGCTGTGCTCTGAATTGTGCCGGTTCCTGGGAGACAGCAAATGCAAGGCTGAGGCAGCAGATGCCATACTGTCTGCGTGATGACTGGGCTCCAGCACCTCCGCGGGGAGCCCAGACGGGGCTGCCGCAAAGCTGCGCTGCAAAGTCTCAGAAGCAATCTCTGGGATATCTTGGGACATGGCAGTGGAAGCAGAGGAGATGACATCTGGCGAGCGCTCACGGGTGGGAGAAGCCTGGGGCACCACCAAGGGCTCCACCTCCTGCAGATCCAGTGCTAGAGAAGGGTTTCCTGGTGTGACCTGAATTAAAAACAAATAATTAAAAAAATCAAACAAGAGCCTTCAGGGTAATGTGGAAACACCCCAAGATCCCCCAGTACCTTACACCAACCACCTCTGGAAAGAGGCAGCTGTATCTTTTCCTCCTGTGATCCCTGTGCTCCCAGTCTGCTCAGCAGATGGAGAAGGGCCTCAGGACTTGTAATGGACTCTCACCACAATCAAACCAATGCCAGTTCGAACACACTTTCAAAAGAAAATGTAACACCAGTTCTACCTCCCTGCTCTGCTCCAGGAACCCCTTCTCTTTGAGAGAAAAAGTTTGTTTTAACACTGAACATCTCCAGGACTGAAAGCTTAATTAAATTCCAAGCTTGGATGATAATCTGTTTGACATCACACCTAGAAAGAAAAATTTAGGAATAGGAAATGATTGTTTCAGACCCGTAAGACCAGCAAAGAGGAAGAAACCTTTCCAGGTAGCACTGTCTCCTAACACAAAGGCTGACCATTTCTAACCACAGTGACAGCACAAGCTAGAGCTGTCTCTAGTTTTCAGACATGCTGTTTTCTGTGAGGTCACGTTCCATCAATATAGGGCAAACCTGGCTGCAGATCTGGGCCAGCAGCTATGTTTTCCAAAAGGCAGACACCAGCCCTGTTATTATCCAAACAAATCTAATTTCAGCTTGTGCAGGCCCAAAGAGAGAGGTGCCTTGGCTCAGGAGGAAAAGGAAAGGAGCATTTGGAGCCTTACTGGAACAGGTGGCTTTGGTGTTAGCTTGTCAGGGAGGCCTGGGATAAGAACTGAATGGCTCCTAGGACTGGTCTGGAGACTGCTGCTACTGCTACTCAGCGTGAGGCTGGTGTCCAGCTGCACCTTGGGGCTCACAGTCAAGTCCTCTGATGGCCTGCAGAAATCAGAGACACAAAAACAGATCAAGCAGGTCAATCTAAGGATACAAATCTGTATCAAACATTTGAGATGAGGAGACAGAATCCACAGGTCAATGCAGAAGTCCAACACAAGCTTCCTTAGTGTCCTCCAAGCCCTTGCTCCTTCCACCATGGTGAGTCACTCCCTGTCAACTAGCACCTGTATCCCCTAGTCCCTGTACAGCCCAAAGAGATAGCGAGTGGAAAAAAACAAGAGATGGGCATTGTAATCTCTTAGAATTTGAGGTGTCAGGGAGAGAAGGGACCTGTTACATCTTCAGTTCCCACCGTATAGAGTTTAGGGAGAAACAGGACACCGTGTGATAGGTCTTTGTCCTTTTCCCAGCCCCTAGAAGTGAAGTTTTCCCCAGTTCAGCCCAACCCACTTCAACATTAGTAAGATTTTTCCTAACAGTCCCAATGATCTTCCTGTCCTTGGTGGCTGTGATGTTCTCTTACCTGTAAACAGCAGCAGCCCTTTGGGAGAAGCACGTAAACCAACAAAACTGAGATGCACTAAGAGAACCCCTGGGAGGCACAAATGAAACACCACTGTTGGCCCCTTGGATGACAACAGGCACCTTCCAAGCTGTGTTAGAGATGCAAACAGTTGCCATTGGGACTCAGGTCAGCTTCTAACTCAGGTTCCAATCTCCACACCCTACATCTCTGTGAGAACCAGAAGGACCCTGTCAGTTCAGCTGCAGATATATTATTTAATACATGATCTATTTACCTGGGCATAGAGGCATCCGTGACAGAAGTGCTACTCATGGCTGTGACTGCAGTCAGGGAACTGACACTGCTGCCTGGAGATACAGCGATCTAGGAGAAAATACACAGCGGTCAGGATGTGACAGAAGAGCCCAACAGCAGAGCTTGACCTGAGAATGCTGGTCCCAGAGGAACTCCTAAAGAATCTTTGGCAAAGAAGGAATAGAAAAAAACAGGTTGAGTTCATAGAATCACAGAATCAGACTGGTTTGGGTTGGAAGGGACCTTAAAGCTCATCCAGTTCCAACCCCCCTGCCAGCAGCAGGGACACCTTCCACTAGACCAGGTTGCTCAAAGCCTCATCCAGCCTGGCCACAAACACTTCCAGGGAGGAGCAGCCACAGCTTCTCTGGCCAACCTGGGACACTGGCTCACCACCCTCACACCAAACAATTTCTTCCTCACATCTCCCCTCAATCTCCCCTCTGCCACTTTCAAGCCATCACCCCTTGTTCTGTCACTCCCTGCCCTTGGCCAAAGTCCCTCCCCAGCCTTCCTGGAGCCCCTTCAGGTACTGGGAGGCCACTAGAAGGTCTCCCCGGAGCCTTCTCTTCTCCAGGCTCAACAGCCCCAACTCTCTCAGCCTGTCCTCACAGCAGAGCTGCTCCAGCCCTCGCATCATCCTCGTGGCCTCTTCTGGACTCGTTCTAACAGGTCCATGTCTGTCTTGTGTTGGGGGCTCCAGAACTGGACACAGCACTCAAGATGGGGCCTCACGAGAGTGGAGTAGAGGGGGAGAATCAACTCCCTCAACCTGAGTTGTACTGCTAGGGGTGCTCAGGTGCTGGTCGAAGGCAAGCCCCAATACATCCTCCCCATGTGAACCACGACTGCTTTGATTGAGCCATTTCTCTGCCAAAACCAAGTGGGACTCTGCCGGCTCCGCACCACATCCTCATCTTGTTCCTTACACCAGACTGCTCCTGTCAAGGTCTGTTGCCACTCATGAGGCCAAGCTGTACAGGTTTTAGGTCCTGCACTGCTGATACATGGAAGGAGAATGCTCCAACACACAACAGGAGGCACTGCTCACCTAGCCAGCTGGCTAGCAGTGAAGAGTACAGGGGACACGCTGGCCCCCACTGCTGCGTCTGGCTACCACTATTCTGGTTACTGGCTACTGGTGTTAACACTGGCTACTGGTGTTCTCTATAGGTGTTTACCTACAGAGAACACCAGTGTTACACACGAGTCCTCAGCTGGGAAAGCTGGTTTGGCCAAGCTTCTTGTGCTCAGCACTGCTTACGGCAGAGAGCAGAGACTGAGCTCACCCACTTCTCTCTGCTCCCCTGGGACACCTTTGCATTAACAAGGCTACCCACCCTCAGGCACAAAATTAACTTCTGCACTCAGAAACTTCACTAGCAACATCAAAACCTGGAGGAGGAGTTTCATTTATTCTTCGCTCCTTAAGCTGTTGCTGGAGGATGTTGCTGATGTTCTCTCATCAGTTAACTCGGCACTAACTCCATTTCTGCACATCTCCATGCACTGCCCACCCTCCTCCAAGCTCCTACAGTACACACAATCCCAGAATTGCCTGGATTGGA